ACAGAATCTTATTCTTACTACTTCTTTTTTTATATAAGATTATTTATTCTTATCTTTAGAGAAAGAGAAGGAAAAAATTCTCTCCCATTTGGTTGACCTCCCAAATGTCTGAAATGCTCAGAGCTGAACTGATCCAAAACTGAGAACCAGGAGCTTCTTTTGGGTCTCCCTTGTGCATAAACGGTCCCAAAACTTTGGGGCATCCTCTATTGCCTTCCCAGGGGTCACTGGATGAGAAGTGGAGCAGCTGAGATACAAACTGGCAACCACATGTGATGTTGGCTCCACAATGTGGGGGTTTAGCCTATTGAGCCATGGTACTGACCCTCATAGCTACTAATTCTTAGGATATATCTCTCTTAAAGCTTGTATTTGAAAAGAAAAAAAAAGTTATATTTGCTATTTGATTGAACTTTTTTAAACAAATAAAATGGTCATTTATATATACATAAATATATATATAAATATATGATTTTTTTTTCTTTCCATCAATATCACGTTGTAGGATGCTACAATAGTGACCAAAGGAAAAAGAAGATGGAGTTTGTACTTGGGAATTACACCTTGGTGACTGAATTTGTCCTATTAGGCTTTCCAACGAGTCCGGAACTGCAGATTGTTCTATTCCTGGTATTTCTGTTGTTGTATGGTATGATACTAATGGGAAATATTGGACTGATCCTGTTAATCAGAGTCGATCCTCACCTTCAAACCCCCATGTACTTTTTCCTTAGCAACCTCTCTGTTGTTGACCTTTGTTACTCCTCAGTCATCGTTCCCAAAATGCTAATCAACTTCCTGTCAGAGAACAAAACTATTTCCTATCACGGGTGTGCTCTGCAGTTTTACTTTTTCTGTACTTTTGCAGATACAGAATCCTTCATCTTAGCTGCCATGGCATATGACCGGTATGTGGCCATCTGTAACCCTTTACTGTACACGGCTGTGATGTCTCGAAGCATCTGTGTGTGGTTGATTGTCTTGTCGTATTTTGGAGGCAACATGAGCTCCCTAGTCCATACCTCCTTTGCTTTTATTCTGAAATACTGTGACAAAAATGTTATTAATCACTTTTTTTGCGACCTCCCACCTCTGCTGAAGCTGTCCTGCACAGACACATCGCTTAACGAATTGCTCCTCTCCACCTACGGCAGCTCAGTGGAAGTCATCTGTTTCATCATCATCGTCGTCTCTTACTTTTTTATTCTTCTCTCAGTCTTAAAGATCCGCTCTACCAGTGGGAGGAAAAAAACCTTCTCCACGTGCGCCTCTCATTTGACATCCGTGGCCATCTATCAGGGGACTCTGCTCTTCATTTACTCCCGACCCAGCTACCTCTATTCACCCAACACTGATAAAATCGTCTCTGTGTTCTATACCATTATCATCCCCGTACTAAATCCACTGATTTACAGTTTGAGAAATAAAGATGTCAAGGATGCAGCTAAAAAAGCTCTAGGATCCAAGGCAGATTCTGCATGAAACAGAACATCCAAGAGTCATCTGATTGCCAACTTCGTTAAATTGTGACTTCAGCAGCATAAGCACCAATCCCTGTAATAGGGATGCAAGTAAACATATGTTAACACAGCAAAGTAGCTTGAACTGTCTGCGTGTCTGTGTGTAGTGTGTGCTGCCGGTCTCATTCAACTCTAAGTTATTGAACAAGGAAAAATGTGATGTTGACATACAAGGACTGTACATTACTTGACTTCTGATTATCACTTCGAGGAGATTTCACGGCATTTTTATGCCTTGGTAATTTTTTTTGTAAAGGTGAGAGAATTTATTAATCATCTTATTGATTGTCAGACAGTTAAAGAGATTCACACAATTGAATAGGAATAACTGGAAGTTTTAAACACTGATCCTCATTGGTATGGTATCTCATATGAATTATGTCTCACAAATTTTGCTTTGCACACTGGAAAAAAATGGAATAAACATGAACATTTTAAGATGGTGATTGAGATGTCCGCATCCCATATCTGAGTTCTGGGTCTCAGTCCCAGCACCAGTGTTCTAGTCTCAGATTTCTGCTAATATTCACTCAAGGGCAGTAGGTGAAGGTTCAAGTACTTGAATCTCGCATGCACAGGGTCCTTTATCGAGATCTTGTTTCCTGGCCCAGCCCAAGACAGGTAGATCTTTGATTCTCAAGTTACGTGTAATATCTTTTCTCGAAACTTCTGACAAACACTGCTTCTCCTTAGCTTTTGTAATGCTTTGGTAGGAAAAGAAGCTAAACACACAGCCACATGAGTATATGCAAGCAGAGTAATGGAAACTTAAATTTCAAATTTGCTGAAGCAGGGTTTACTTAGCCATAGATATGAAGAATCTCACTGAGCTTCTTTGCAGGGTAAGTCATCATAGCTTGCCATGTCAAATAAATTTTTAACATCTAGCAGTTATATTATCATCTGATCTGTAATATCTATCTTATTTTTGTTTTTTTTTTGTATAAGATAATTGTATCACTCTCCAAATTCATATCACCGATGACAAAATATAACTGCTGCCAACTATGGGAATAGTAAAAATTAGCATGTGCTTGTGTTGTTTTTTTAAGGCCCAAAGATGATTCCCATGAAAAAAATTAAACATTTAGATAGATAAATCTTTGGCAAGGCTGTGGCAATTTATTAGACATTAATGATGCCATCCTCTGGAGCTTTCCGGATGACCTGCCTACTTCTTTGCATAGAACCCATCTTTTGTCACATGAGTCTACAACCCTTCCCATGTTCCTGTGACTGCATGATGGCTAATAAGGCTGAACTTACACTTTAGCTGTGGTGTAGATAACATTTTCTGAGGCAGTTCACTTATCTGTAATTTGACAATTTCCTCTGTGCTGAAGCCCATGTGGATAACAGAAGTAGAATTTAATTAATCCTATGAAAATAAGAGGTTTGTGCCTAGAAACCATTAGCATACTGAGAAGTGAAGATACTTTGCATTACGCATCATTACTCTCAAATAAAAGATGTATTCCCAATAAAACTGTCAAGTACATCTTGACAACAGAATATTGGAGTTTCTACCATTGTCTATACCTATAAAATCAGGATACACTTAAACAGCAGAATGATGAACTTGTGACTGTTTTGGAAGGCCTACACTACTGTAATAATATGGTGCTAATCTTTGGAGAGGGGAGGTTTGAATGGGGGCGGGGAATCCCTGAGCCTATGGAATTTTATCTTTTTTTTTTATGAAAAAGAGAAGAAGACACTAATAAGATGCCATTTTTGGACAATGGGCAAACATAGGTGCAATGGGTTAGATGCTGCTTGAGGTACTTGGTTCCCTAACAGTGTCCTCCTTTGAGGGTTTGCTCAGCACTCACTCAGCTGCCCATTGATGCACATCCTGAGAGACAACAGGTGATGGTGCAAGTAACGTGGAGCTTGTTCACCCAAGTGTAAGACTCCCATGGAGTTCTGGGTTCCTAGTTTCAGCTGGCCCATTTCTGGCTGTAGAAGGGCAACTGAGGAGTAAGCCAGCAGATAGAAAGTAAAGAGTGAGCAAAATGTAGATAAACAATATAATCATCAATTCAGTGAAATATGGGCAAAAACTAAGTTATCTGAAATTTGGTAAGAGGAAAATCAAAATGTAATATATATATAATATATATACTCTCTATAAATATAAATGTACTCTCTCGCTCCATATATATATATATATAATTAAATGTTCAATAATTAAAAGAGATATTCCGATACATGCAGTTACATAGATGTACCTTGAAAATATTGTATCTTATAAAAGAAACTTGCAACAGAACTTCATATAAGGTGAATGTCTTTCTGTTGTCAACAGGCAACTTGTATCCTCGGACACAGATAGTACTGCAGGCTGGGAGTGTTCTTGTTGGAATGATGCCAAATGTTAGGGAATTAGTGATGACAGTTACCCAACTTCATGAATATAGTCAAAATTCAAGCATTTTCTCTTAACATGTGACTCATATAATATAAAAACTTTGCAGCAAAAATAAAATACATGTGTGTAATATTAACATAAGATGATGGAGAAAATTTTAAAAAGGAAGAAATAAAAAAAAAGCAATATGAAAGAAATTGAAAATTCTGGCGGAGCTGAGTATCATTAGACCCAAGCTTTGATTGGAGGAGGATTGAGACAGGATTGTACACTTAGTAGTGTGAACTAATTCCCAGTTTTCCTCCAACCAGGGATCAATTTGTCAGCTGTAACAATTTAAAGTCAAAACTTTGCAAGTGTTGTTAGTAAATACACAGGGGAAAATGCAGAACCAGAAGCATAAATAATCACACCAAAGCCTAAGGGAGGCAGAGAATGAAGTCCCACATGCGACCTGGAAAATAAAATGCTGTTCGTCTGGTGTTCAGATACAAGAACTGCCTGACCCAGGTAGGTTCCTCAATTTTCAGATTCAAATATATAAAGCCAGAAAAGATTAACTATAGAGACAATGAGACATTTCTGAATGAATCATCTGGGAAAATTATTCAGTTTAATAAATTCTCCAACCTACACATCAAAAACCCTTTTCTTCAGAATTAACAGAATATGAATAATATATGAATTAAGGGATTTATTCATTTAGAGAAATACTTGATTTATCACATTACAAACACTAGTAGATACACATTCAGCTTCAGGTGAGCCACATACCATACTAAAATTTTTAAAATATCCCATATGTCCATCACTCATGCTCCAAATCTGTGCATCAACAAGGAGACATAGATGCATACAGACATGGCACACCTCTTAGATGAACAGACCACAAGCCAAGTAATTCGATTCATTTAAGACAGTGAACCATCATGGTACATATTTTAAATTCTCTCTCTTTCCTGTAGCATTCTCTACAATTACAAATATCATCCCTTAACATCAAAGTATTGAGTATTGTAACAAAATTAATATGTTTATATAGACAGGGTCAGTGATTACTATTTTATGTCTCATTAAATACTGAAGAAACATAGGCCAAGATTAGTAAGATGCTGGTGCACATATTTGCTACAGACAAGTCAATTCCCTTCTATGGCTGTGCTCTGCAGTTCTTCATTTCCTGTATCTTTGTTGATTCAGAGTGTCTGCTGCTGGCAGTGATGGCCTTTGATAGGTACCAGGCCATCAGCAACCCCTGGCTCTACACAGTCAACATGTCCAGCAAGGTGTGTTCCCTGCTCATGGCTGGGGTTTACCTGGTGGGAGTGACAGATGCATTGCTACACACCACGTTGACATTTCGCTTGTGTTTCTGTGGCTCTAATGAGATCAATCACTTCTTCTGTGACTTGCCCCCTCTGTTCATTCTGTCTTGTTCTGACATACAACTCAATGAGCTGGCATTATTCACTGTGTTTGGATTCATTGAACTGAGTACTATCTCAGAAGTTCTTGTCTCTTACTGTTACATCATCTTATCAGTCCTAAAGATGCCCTCTGCTGAGGGGAGGCTCAAAGCTTTCTCCACCTGCACCTCCCACTTAACTGCAGTTGCCATTTTCCAGGGAACTATGCTCTTCATGTACTTCAGACCAAGCTCTTCCTACTCTCTAGATCAAGACAAGATGACGTCACTGTTTTACACCCTAGTGATCCCCATGCTGAACCCTCTGATCTACAGCCTTCAGAACAAGGATGTGAAACAAGCCCTGGAAAGAGTGAAAAGCAGTATTGGTTTTAAATAGTTACTTAAGACAATACTTGCCTTCTTCTATTTTGCCTTGTTGTCATAAAATCTATTCTGCATATGTCTAATACATTTCCTAAGCTGCTTTAATTCAAATGAGGATCTTTATTCCACATCATGCATAAAATATAGTTCTCCAAACTCCATTATGTTACTCCAGAATTTTTAGGATATCACCTGTGTGTGGAAAAATATCTTAGTCTTTGTAGTTTCATCAAAATTTTAATTATATTAAGAAAATTGTAGGTCTTGGTTATTTTGTATGTATGTATGTGTTGTAAAAATTATGAGTTCAGTAATTTCCATATTAATGGATTGTACAGTATAATGATTATAGCAGATACAACTAAGCACTAAAATAAATCTTAATAAAACTTCTTGAGCTCCTAAAGCATCTAATAAATTACTGAGGATACTTTGAAAAGCTCATGAAGAAATGAAATTAAACATTTATTTGTTTTGATGTATTTCAAATACACCAAAATAATTTTACTCCAAAATAAAGTCATCTTTAGCTCATATTTTCCATGAATTGTTTTATATTTATTTTTAATTTAAAAGATAGAGGAATTTATGAGACAGAGGGTTGCGCACAGAAAGAATATCTTCCATTTACTCATTCACTTCTCAAATACCTACATTAGCTGAGACTAGACCAAGTTGAAACCAGAAAGTCTCCTGTGTTTCTGGCAGGGATCCACCTGCTGGTTCTACCATCTGCTGCTTCACAGAATGAGTGTCAGCAGAAAGCTGAAAGTAGAAGCACATGATTTTAATTCCATCTCTTCAGTTGAAATACAGATGTCTCAAGGAACAATTTATCTCCTGTGACTTCAATGTTTTTAATCCCTATGCTGCTAAATCCCATTCTTTTCAGTTCAATTGTGGATTATGACAAATATTATTTTTCATATAAAATATTGTCAATGCAATATGTAAAGAGTAAAATTATGATCGCCATCCTATATCTTGAATGCTTTCTTTTCCCTTAACCCTAAGCACGATCTCCCCCAAAATGGCATAACAATGATACATTTAAGTACATTGGTTATAACACAAAGTAATAACATTTGACTGCTCAGGAAGTAACAAAAGTGTTAAAGTCAGATGCAGCAACATTTACTGTATATGGACTGCTGTCTCTCTCTCTCTCTCTCTCTCTCTCTCTCTCTCTCTGTCTCTCTCTCTCTCTCTCACACACACACACACACACGCAATGAAGAATTTGCCCACTGTCAATCTAAAACGCTTAATTAGTAAAATTTCCATACAAAACCCCAGATCCTCCTATAAAATAATAACCCCTCCTCAAGCCCAAAGCAATGGCACCTGGGCCTATCTTGGTGTGCCTGTGGAAGCCACATGTGTATCTTGAGGAAACCGCGTCCCCTTCTGGCCCCATCCTGCATCAAACCCCGGATGTTCTGCAGTCCTGCCCCCATGCCACCTGTGCCTCCTCAGTTCCTCAGGTTTAATGACAGTCCAACACCTACCGGGTTGTCTCCCAGAAGGCGCCCTCTGCTCTGCGTTGCCTGCTCCCGCCTGTGGCCATTGTGGCCTAACAGGTGCCAAAAGGACATGGAGACCCTGGACACAGGAGAGCAATTTCTCTGTCCTTAGCTCTAGCTCTGGCTCCTTTTCCTCCATTAGAGCGACCTTAGTGGTCTCTCAGGAGCCCAAAATTAGCTCAGGTAAAGACCATCATTCTTACATGTGTACCTCTGATGGTGACTAATCCAAAAGTCTGAAGCATCCAGGAATAGGGAGGGGCTGGTCTATGACTGCTCAGCTGGTGCAGCTGGTCAGGCTCTCTATATGTCTGTGTTTACATGTCTCCCTTTTAAGTTTTCTGCTAGATTTACAGGCGTAGGACACCCTGACTTCTCTGATGCAGTGTTCATGCCTTCCTAACATGCTAAATTATCTGGGATTTCTCTGCTTACTTGCATAAGATTTCTGCTATCCCACTGTAAATAGATGGCTTGTTGGAACTACAAAGCTATTTGTCGCTTTGTTTATTTTGTCATATAGTTGTATGTTTCATTAAAATGAAAATTGGAAATAAATTTTCCTACGATAACTATTTCACTGTTTCATGAAACAATCCACATTCAGTCTCTGATGTTTATTGTCTTGCCTTGCAAGTCTGAGTGTTTGTGCATGGACACTAGCATTTTATGGTACAATTTCGTAGAAACTGGAATTCTCCCCAAACTCCCACCCTGGACAGCTTTTTCCCATGTCACTACAATTATAAAATCCTTCACAAGTCATGTTTTCTTCACTTGTTATTTAAGTGTGCCTGGACATTGCTGGTTGAGACAATATCAGACAGTAGAGGATGGCACAAAGCGTTGGGACCCTGAACACAAGTGGGAGACCCCAAAGGAGTTCCTGTCTCCTGGCTTAAATCAACTTAGTTCTGGTCATTGGGGCTACTGGAGGTGTGAACCAGCAGATGGATGATATGTCTCTCTGTATCTCCTACTCTCTGTATTATCTGCCTTTCCAATTAAAAAATATATGCATATGTAAATATATATCCATGTATATATATCCATATATGCAAACTTAATACAAAGATTTCTTTAAAAGACCAATAAGAATTGTAAAGTATGCAATTATTTATGCACTTTGCTGCTTCACATATTTTCAAGTATCTCTTGGACATTCTCCTGGCAATACAATTTTGCTTATGGTCTTTATTTTTCTTTGTTTCTCTTTTTTGGTGTTAATGAGATTTCTCTTGATGTCTATAAGGCAACATACTCATCTGGTGAAATTCAATGACATTGCTACAGTCTTAATTTTGGGAAAATTATTTGTAACATGTATGCCTTTTTTATATTCCATTAACAACTGTGTTGAATCCAACCCTAAAATGTCAAATGTACACTATTGAGAAATAATTTGGAAGCAAAGCTCAAACCACATAGGTAAATTGACAATAGTTTTTCATTAGTTACCCAAGAGGTTGTCAGAATCTCTGGAGTTACAATTGGGCATATTCTCCTGAAATTTGCCAAGTCTTATTTTTCCTTCTGCTGCTTATTTTCCCTGGAGGAGCCAGGTTTCCTAAGGTTACATTCTATACTGAATGCAAACTCTAACTTTACATAATGATGCTCCTTCAGCCCTGTTATTATATGGTTCATACAAAAATTGTATTACTGTGTAACTTATCATTAGGGAAAGCTCACTTATTTCCTACAGATAACACATTATTTTTTAAACCTGGAGGAATAAGACAAGGGAGAGTTCAGAATTTCAGAGACAAGTGACTCGAAACAAGGGCAAACATCTGTACCCTAATGACTTTCATTGAACTGGGACAGTTATTGGTATTTAATAGCATGTCTGTCTCCACAAGAGGGGTTTTTGTCCAAATTCTTGAATCATTATCAAAAGAATTTACCACCTATTTCTAGAGAAAAGTTGTCCAGAGAATTTAAAATTCTCTACTTCTGGATTTAACATAGTATACCTCTCATTTACTGTAATATTGAACAGTACTGAGAACTGTCCAGGGCCACTAAAAACTTGTGCCATGTCCAGGGACAAGGCTTGTGAGGTCATTCTTCCTGCCAATATGTTGCAAACAGGATATTGTTTAAATCTTGAGAAGACTGACAACTCAGCCAGGGTTAATTATTCCACTCATTTATTGATAGACAATTAAATTGTCCCTAGCTTCTTTATTGCTTTTTTCTTTTAATTTTCAGTTCACAAACAGATGTTCGGTGTCATATTATATTAAAAAAAATCTAGCTGATTGTATGGACAGACAAGGAACTAATGTTCCTCAAAAGTGACTCAATGGGCTAATCCTCCCTTTGCAAGCACCAGGATCCCACATGGGCATGGATTTGTGTTCTGGGTGATCCAGGATTATGGCCTGGGAAAGTAGAGGATTGCCCAAAGCTTTTGGACCCTGCACCCACTGAGAGACCCGGAGGAAATTCCTGGCTCCTGGCTTTGGTTTGGCTCAGACGTGGTCATTGCAGCAATTTGAGAAAATCTCCCTATCTTGTATCTGCCTTTCCAATAAAAATAAAGAAATCTTTTCAGAAAACCGAAATTGTAAGTAATGATAATCACATATCAAAATGTTAACTTTGTTCATAAAGATTGCATTTTTTTAATTATGTATATTAGTTATCACTGAACAGTTTTCTTTTGGTGACTGGCATATTTCATGAAGCAAAACAATTTCCAGTTGCATCCATTTTGTTGCAAATTATGCTATTTTATTATTTATTGTGATTCACTATTATTCTATAGTATGTGTATGTATTTATGTGTGTGTGTGTTTGTGTGTATACAACATTTTCTTCATTCAATCATTCGTTGATGGAAATTTGGACTGTTTTCAAACCTTACTGATAATTACAGGTCATCATTGAATAAAACTGAAAATCAATCAAATAAATGGAAATATGCCACATATTATTAGACTGCAAAAATCAGTGTTACCTAATATCTGTATTACACAAAATAAAGATTTGGGAAATCCTTGATCAAAATTCAAATATCTTTGTTCACAGAAATAGAAAAAAAAGTGAACACTTATTCACAGAAATGGAAATGCCAATATTTTATTTACAGAAGTAGAAACAGTCTGATAGATACATCATTTTTGGTTGCAAAAACAAAATAGCCTGTAGGCATCCCACCAAATGCTTTAAAAATTTGTAATAAAATGTTATTGTTAAAACATCATGATTTGGACATAAAATAGGCCTGCTGAGGGTTGGATTAGGATAGCCACTTCAAAAAGAGAATACATTTCTACAGGCATTTGAATTTTCATAAAGGTGCAAAGATCACTAAATGTGGTTATAAAATCTCCTCTCTAATTATATTGGGCAAACCGAATGTTCACACATATAAGGGTGGAAAATGGAAACTTGTATCACACATTGTAAAAAGAAATCAAATCAAAATATGTTTAAAGACTAAGTATGATATTTGAATCAAAAAATAAGAGATGTAAATGCA